GTAACAAAAGTAGTCAGAATGCACAACTTCTGTGCAAGTTAACACTTCGGAAACCAGGGGCGGATCCAGATCATTTTCATGTGGGGGGCACAGGGGGGACAACGATGAAATCAGGGGGGCCACCTAAAAGTGCCAACAGAAATGAAGGCTGCCACCAACCTATCTCTCCACAGTTAGAACTTAGAAAACTAAGTGTAAACAATTACATTTCATATTTAAAGTGTTTTTATGTTTTCATTGGCTACATTAACGTTTTCATATTAATGGCCTTTTTATTTAGCAATTTCAACATTAAAATTTTAAAGTCCCCTTGTTTTCATCAACATTCAGCTAGTATGTCCTATTAGAAAACTCAGCAAACATGAGCCAGGCCAGATTAAAAATCACTTACGCACCACCATGAACAATGAAAGACTAAGTGACCTTGGGGTGCTAAGTGTGGAGTCCCCGAGAGCCAAAGCCTTGGATATGGATGAGTTTATTAGGTTGTTCAGTGGTCGACACAGAAATCGGAAAATACAGTTGTACTGATGAGTACTTTCTACTGCGACAATGTATCAATTTAGCTTAATATACTTAAGACTGAGTATTGGTTATCCTTTTTTTTATCCGTATGTAAAAAAGTGAAGAATATTGCAAGAAGTGAAAAATAATAGTGATGAGGGTTGTTCATGCACAATAATATTGCATCTGCTTAATCAGTTTCAATGCAGAAAAGCTGCGTTCACAAGAAGCTGTGCTTACAGGTAAAGCCATGGCAATTTTGCACAGTCTGAACCATTCATAGAATACATCCCTGAATGGCTCCAAGAATACTGTGAACTCAAGCAAACTACTTAAATTTTTCATTCCAGCTGCCCTCTTCCTCTCCAAGATCCGCTTGGCTTGATGTAGCTCGTGCTTAAGATCATCCAGGTTTGTTTTGTAAATGGTTCCCAACAAAAACAGAGGAGTCTCTTCCAAAAAGTTGTTGCTTTTAGGATTGAGTGCTTGAATTCCTTTCATGATATCACAATTGGTTTTAGAAAAACGTCTCTCTAGCTCAGCCTTCAGAGAGCTTTTAATTTGAAATGATACAGGAAATGTTGAGTTCCTGCAGCTTAATGCAAAAACTTTAACAAACAGAACAAAGTTTACCGAAATATCACCAATTATACTATCGAACAGTGGGATGATACAACAAGTGTATTTCAAATAAAGTCCTGTTAACTTCTGTACTAGTTAAGGAAAATATGCGGAAATACGGTATAACATTTTAGCAAGCGTCACTTGTTAGCTTGCTGGACAGCTATCATTAACATTAGCGCTGATTAACTCTATATCACAAAGCAGACTACTTGTAGCTTATATAAATTCAGCACACACACAAACGAAGCCCTAAACAAATGTAACACAGTAAAGAGCCTTCATTTGTAACAAAGTAATCATTGTCTTGTCATACTTATTACATGCAATTATCAACAAATATAAAGATGTTAGCTCTCTTCCAGGACTGTACTTTTAACGGCACTTTTCAAAAACTTTTGTCGCATTTGAAAGGCAGAATAATAGACATCCATGAAAGCCAATGACAATTGGGGTGGCACACGGGGTGGCCAATCAGATCACAAGGGGGGCGGGTGCCCCCCTTTGCCACCATGGTGGCTCTGCCTCTGTCTGAAACACAGTGGTTGCTAGGGGAGCGGTGAGTTTGATTTGATGCTCTATCTGGGAAGCTTCATATGACGCTGTCAAAAATCCCAGCTAACGCTGTAGAGGATGAACAATTAATGAAATTAAATTCCAAACATTTTGAGGTTGGCTAAAACACTTTAGCATGGTTTAGGTATCTGAAGGTTATATTTACATACTTTAAATAAACTGGAGGGAAAAAGAACACCAAATACCTCAATAATTTCAGTCCATCCATTTTCACACACTTTATCCTGAGTGGAGTCACAAGGGGTGCTGGTGCCTTCAGGGGCGGCTCTAGAAAAATATTTATGGGGTGTCGAGAGGGGGGCAGGAATTTTTGAGGGGTGGCAACATATGGCATTTGTTTACACTGAATTTAATCACAGTTATCACAGTTTGGTGAGAATAGTATGTAGAGTAAGTGTTTCATGTGAAACAGTTCATATTAGAAATACATCGTACAATGTGATCTCACCAAGTGGGAGGTAGAAGAATGATAACATTACTTCTAGTGGTGCATTATCACAGAAAAGGTATTAAGGTAAGACACAGGTGCTGAGTGGCAGATGTGTGAGAT